TTCTAAGGATAAGGTAGTCAGGCCGTTGGAATTACGAACGAAGGCCACGCGACACCCGTAGTATTTAAGATCCGTTCTGTTCAGCTTAGAATAACTATAGTTACTTGCATGCCCGCGATCGCAGAACACGTCCGCATGGGCCGCGCTCGCTTCCCGAGCTCCACGCGCACCAGCCACACGCGAAACTCTGTACGCGAATTTCTGTACGCACCGCTCTTGCATGTCGCATTGTGAATAACAACCGCTCACGCGAAACTCTGTACGCACCGTTCCGGCATGTTGCATTGTACATATAATATAGCTCAGTGTTAGACTTAGATAATCGCTTGAATAAACCTAATTGTTTAACCGCTTATACCGAGGTAAAGTAAGTTGGAGTTTCCCCCTTCTCCCGAATCCTGGCACCGGCAAGCCTTGATCCGCGGCGTACGGGAAAGGTGAACCGTTACAATATAAATGATATAATAAAAATCTGTCCAGAAGGATGTAGTATAAAAATGTTTGCAGATGATACGTTAATATATGTAACTGGAGAAAGCAGCGCGGAATTAGAAGGCAAAATGAATATGGCATTTACTATAGTAGAAGAGTGGATGAATATAAATAAGTTAAAAATGAATGCAGGAAAAACGAAATATATGATTGTTAGAAGTATAAGAAAAGAACGCTGAGGTAATATAACATTGAAATGTTTGGATGGAACTGAGATTGAACGTGTGGAAATAATGAGATACCTAGGCATAATTATTGACGATAGACTACGATTTAAGGACCATTGTGATTATATGCTAAAGAAAATAGGGGAAAAAACGAGTTTTTTGAATAGAATAGGTAATTATATATTGGCATACACTAGATGTATTGTATATAAGACAATTATAGCGCCTCACTTTGAGTATTGTGCGACGCTGTTAATTGATATGGGAGAAACACAGCTGAGTAAATTGCAAAAAGCACAAAACCGGGCAATGAGAATTATATTGCAATGTGATAGATATACCAAAGTGGAGCGTATGCTGCAAGCGCTGGAATTTATGTCCATAAAACAGAGGCTATATTATAATGTGTGTATATTTATTTTTAAGATTTGTAGGAACATGTTACCGGAGCAATTAACAAATAGATTAGAAATTGTGTGAAATGAGAGTGAAAGACAAACACGACAAGCTGGGAATATTGCAATAAAATATCGCAGAACAAGGAGTGCGCAAAAAAGTATGTTTTACGAAGGAGTGAAAATGTATAACGCCTTGCTAGCTGAAATAAAGCAGAATGAAAGAATTATGCCGTTTAAGCGAATGTTAAAGGAGTACATTGTAATTAATGTAAACTAGATTTGTATTACAAATAGCTGAGAAAGCTAATAAAGATCAATCAATTAATCAAAAAAATCTTTCTCTCTCCAGCTCTCTCTCTCCCTCCCTCTCTTCCACCCCACTCTCTCTCTCCCTTCCTCCCTCCCCCTTTCTCCCTTCCTCCCTCCCCCTCTCTCTCCCTCCCTTCCTTTCACCCACCCCTCCCTCTCCCCCTCTCACCCCCGCTCTCTCTCCCTCTCTCTCTCTCATTTATTATAAATTTTTAAAATTATAGTTTTATAAAAGAGTAATACACGAAAGAATAATCGTACATGAGCGATATGAACACGCCTTGAGGGACAAAATCGCTTTGCGTGTGTGCGTGCGAGCATACGTACGTGAGAGTCTGAAACTTATCTTATTATTATGATAATAATGAAGAACGAAAAATGTCACAATTCTGATATACGATCATCATTTCTCGGGATTGACTGCACCAATCTTATTCGAACCGGTCGCAATCGGAAGCTTATATTCACATTATATAATAAAAGTGCCGTTACATTTTTTATAAAAGTGCCGTTAGATTTTTTATTACGGCTTTAGTTATTAAAATATCTTAATCGAAAGTTTACTAGTTTTAAAATTCCGGATAAGCTACTTGATAGCGTCGCAGCTCCTGTACATAGGCAAACCGTTGAGAAGCTGGAACGAATTTTTATATATACTTGGCGACGCTACCGTGTCGCTTGATAAATAATATAGTATATTTTATAAACAATATAGCATATTTTAAATATAAACAATATTTACTTTAATAAAATACTCCAAGAGAGAAAAATAACAAAAACGGGATACGCGAAGGTATGAAATACTCGCGAAGAGACGCGCAAGTTTTTTCGAGTATTTTCGCATTATAAAAAATCGTAGAAAACCTCCAATCTGTCCAATTTGCAGCAAATCTTGACGCGTATTAGGCAAACTACTCTAGCCCAAGATTTGCGAATAAATCTTTTTAGCGAGAGTGGAAAGTTATAGCGCATCGAGCCGAAGAGTGGGGGTTTGTTTTGACGCTCTATAACTTTCCACTCTCGCTAAAGATTTATTAGCAAATCTTGGCTAGAGTAGTTTATCGAATCTGCGTCAAGATTTGCTGCAAGTAGGACAGAGCGGAAATTTTCACGATCTCTCTATTATGCTCTCGGAAGCATTTTATATCGAGCAACGCGAAAAAAGGTTAACGCGAGACACGACGTTCGCGTAGCGGCGCGACGAAGAATTCATATAGAGCGTGTGAAAGAGTCCGTATAAAGCGCGAAAGTGAAAACGCAGGATGTGGCGGCCGCGTAGCGGCGCGAGAAAGAATCTGTATGAAACGCGAGAGAGAACCCGTATGGAACGCGAGAGAGAACTCGTATGGAACGCGAAAAGGACGGCGCGAAGAGTCCGTGATAATTTTTATTTTTCTAACGAATGATTTTGTTTAATATATGTAGTTTTATTTAATAAAAATACATTTTTATCATAATACAGCCGTTTTATTTATCCAAGAATTGTGCGACTCGTCCATTCCCAGCCATTTCACGTAAACCTCGTCGCCCCTTCGACGCAGCACCTTCTCCACGAGATACACGTCGGGATCGTCGACGCGCAGCTACTCGTGTTCGTAGAATCCTCCGGCGATCGGCTCGCCGCGCGAATCCTTCAGCAGATACGTTACGAGATTAGTCCGTTGTATCTTGGTTATTCGAAAAATCTTGGTGGTCCAGTTAGGTGTGAAGCCTTTCTCGAAGATCGTCTTAAACTTGCTGACGCGTACCGGATCGGCTACTTTCAATTTTGCCGGAGCCGCGATTTTTATATTGCTGTATACCGTATTTAAAAGTTTATCGGCGATCGCTGGAGTCACGTCGACGGGTCTCATATCTATAGTGCGATGTTTTCGCGTATTGTACTTCTCGACGAGCCGAGATAACTCGTCGATCCACTTGTACGTTCCGCTCAGCGTGAAGTACTTCCACATAGAATTTTTGAGCGTGCAATTGAATCGTTCGACGATCGACGCCTTCATCACCGAGTACGTCGAGTAATGATTCACTTCGCGCTTTTCCGCGAACTTTCGCACCTCGGCGTTGTAGAATTCCTTTCCTTTCCTTGTTGGTCTGCAGATTTTTCGGATACCGCTTAGAGTCTCGCACTATTTTGGATAACGCTCGGGTAACCTCGTTCGCGCTCTTGCTTTTAAGCGGTACAGCTCACACGTATTTGCTTAACGCGTCGATAACGGTGAGTATGTAGTTGTTGTCTTTGTTGAGTCTCGCGTAAGGACGCATCTCGACCACATCCGCCTGCCACAGGTCGTCGTACCCGCGTACCGCGACGCGACGACGCGGGAAGTTTCTTCTCGCGGGCACGTGCAACTCCTCGACTAGCCTTCGTTTTTCGGTGCTCATAATTCTCCCCTCTTTCTCTCGAGGATGACGTTGGGCGGGATCTCTCTCTCCAGCGGCTCGCCGCTCCGAGCGTCGTCGCTGCTCTCGCGAATCTTCGCCAGTTTCCTCACTCTCCTCGATAGCTCGTCCGCGTCTCTCTTCAATCGCGATGTTGAATTTTCCAATTCTCGTATCTTTGCCGCGGAATTCGCCGCGACGTGCGATTTTTGGGTTAGTTCCTGTATTATTTTACCCTGATTGAACAGTATTTTATGATTGCTCGCGCTTCTCGTCAAGGACTTCGCCGCGTTGAGCGATATTGTATTTTTTGCAACATCGATTTGTTCGCTTAAAGCGTTAATCCATTTATCCAAAGCATTGATCCGTTTACCTAGAGCGTTAGCGTTCGCTTCTGTTCTCGAAACGGAATTTTCCACGACGTCTATCCGTTTACTCAGAGCATCGTCGCGCCTTTCAATCCTGGAAACAAAACTCTCCGCAGCGTCTATTCGTTTACTCAGAGCGTTATCGAGCTGGGTGAGTGTCATGAACAGCAGGATGACGCTCTGCCCCGTCTCGTTTACGTCTTTTCTCAAATGCGACGTAATTCTCTCGACGTAGCTTTTGCTCGTCGCGTCGGCGTCCTCCTCCGGCTGAGCCAGGCGTTTTATCTTGCGCTCTCTCGCGTCGTACTCGACGGTAGAGCTTAAACACAGCGCGTTATCGCGTACGTAATTTCGCAGGGACTCGGTAGCCGGACGTAGTCTTCCGGTCCTCGCGTCGTAGCCGCGGTTTTTTACAGGTGTGCCGAATTTGCTCACGGACATCGCGAATCCGTCGTACGACTGCGACGGTCGTCGACGCGACGGTTCGATTTATACCAGTGCTCGGAGATAGTTGCCCTTTTCGGGCCGATATGTGAAGTGACGCCTACGGTCCCCCCACTACTGCTCGAGGCTCGACGGCCGAGCCGCCGATCGCGCGCATAACGCTATATCTCAGGAGCGTCCCGATCTAAAAAATATGCTGAGATTGTATCTGCCGTCAAATCGTCGTTTAAAGCTTTGTCAAATAATTTGTCTATTAGTAATATATTATATATGTTATAGTAATATATATATATTACTATAACATATATAATATATTACTAATAGACAAATTATTTGACAAAGCTTTAAACGACGATTTGACGGCAGATACAATCTCAGCATATTTTTTAGATCGGGACGCTTCTGAGGCATAGCGTTACGCGCGCGATCGGCGGCTCGGCCGTTGAGCGTCGAGTGGTAGTGGGGGGATCATAGGCGTCGCTTCACATATCGGCCCGAAAAGGGCAACTATCTCCGAATACTGACCTATATTACTAATAGACAAATTAATATATTATATAATATATACAGTGTGTCTCACAACCTGTGTACAATATTTTAATAGCGTATTCTAGAGGCAAAATGAAGTAAAAAATCTTAATAGAAAAATATTGAGGCTACAATAGTTTTTGAGTTATAAGTGATCAAAGTTTGCCAATAATATTGCGTAGAATTCGCGCCTTATAGTTCCTTAATATCAGCTGACCGCCGTACATGGTATTCATATACATAAGAAACAATAAAATCAGCCGTATATGTGTACGGATCTGAGCGCGCGAGTTTTATGCGATATCATTGGCAAACTTTGATCGGTTATAACTCAAAAACTATTGCAACCTCAAAATTTTTGTATTAGAATTTTTTACTGTGTTTTATCTCTAGAATACACTATTAAAGTATTGTACGGAGGTTGTGAGACACCCTGTATATTACTATAACATATATAATATATTACTAGTAGACAAATTATCTGGCAAAGCAAATTTAAACGACGGTTTGACGGCAGGTGCAATTTTAGCATATTTTTTAGATCGGGACGCCCCTGAGGCATAGCGTTACGCGCGCGATCGGCGGCTCGGCCGTCGAGCCTCGAGCGGTAGTGGGAGGACCGTAGGCGTCGCTTCACATATCGGCTCGAAAAGGGCAACTATCTCCGAGCACTGATTTATACGATCGCTCCCGTCTCGCGAAGCTCCTCGATTATCGATAGAATCTCGTTTTTGTGAGCGTTGTTGCCGGCTCGACGCGAAGAATCCCGCAATTGCAGACGATCCACTAATTCGTTCGGATCATCCCAATGAACGTAATAGATTCTATCGTCCGTGACTCGCATGGTCGACGGTATGCGACCCGCGCCCGTCTTTTTCGCCGCTGCCGTGGATAAGCGGAGCGATAACGAACTTGTATTTGTATCCCTTATTTCCTAAAACAGATTTTCTAGCATCATGGTCGCGTTTATGAGCGTTCGTTGTTAACAATATACTCTTGTACGTTAATTCATCCTTTTCCGTGTACGTGAGACTATCGGGATTTTTCATAAAGATCAATTCGTACAAACCGGGGGTACCGATGTATTTAATCTCATCTATGAGTATGGGGTCATCCGCGTTTACGTCGAATCGCCTATTGCCGAGCATCGCGCCTTTCGCGCCGATGTACACCCCGTAAACGTGATCGATCTCGTTCGGCGCTTCCCCGCCGAGAAGAGCCCCCATGTACTTTTGTCCCAACGGTCCTAGCCGACCGTGCAGCATTTTGCGACCTTGAGAAGTTCGCGAAGTTCGTCTAACGGGCATTTCGAACGTCAAGGGCGACTCGAGTTTCTCGGGTTCGAACGCTTCACCCTCGGTTTCGTCCCGCGCGAATGGATCTCTCTCGGTGGGGTACTCGTATAACGGAGTAGAAACGGCGTCCAATCGACGTCGCGCTCGTATTTATTTCACCTTAGGTTTTTTCCAAGCGGGAGTCAGCGCTTCCTCCTCCCATTTTTCCTCGACGCTCGTCGTCGCGGGCGAGGTGTCGATCGCGTCTCACTTTATCGTCTTGCGTTTGATCTCGTCTCGCTCGATCTCGTCTCGCTCGGCGCGTTCGGCGATGCGCCGCAGCGGTTCGACGATCTGCTTGAAACGGCTTTTCATCGCGATATCGTTCTCCATTTTGCCGGTCTTCAACGCTCTATGTTTTTTACGAATCGACGCGCGCGTCTTAGCGATCTCTTTCGCCGTCTTCTCTCGTTCGCCGATATCCGTCGCGGCCATCGCGATGAACGGATCAATTCTCGCTTGCGGGAGGGAGTGCGATCGACGTGTTCGACGTATACGCGACGACTGATCGCTCTACGGTACGGCGAAGTCGTTAAACCCTTTTCTGTATCTGCCGGTGCGAAGCGCGCTATCTTTGTCGATCACTAGAAAACCATACCTGTATCGCCAACACGCGCGACATAGCGCGTGAAAATTCTCGTACGACATATCCGTGTTCACATCATCGTTGTACGCGTGACGCAAATTAGTACCATTCTGTTTAAAGAGAATCAACAGATTTGCGTTATCTCGAATGGGAGCATCCCGTTTGACCACGTTGATCTTGACCACGGTCCCGATTGACCATGTTGAGATTGACCACGTTGCGATTGACCACGTTGCGATTGACCACGTTGATATTGACCACAGTCCCGATTGACCACGTTAATATTTGACCACAGTCCCGATTGACCACAGTCCCGATTGACCACAGTCCCGATTGACCACAGTCCCGATTGACCACTGTGGTCAATATCAATGTGGTCAATCGGGACCGTGGTCAATCGGAACTGTGGTAAATATCAACGTGGTCAATCGGGACCGTGGTAAATCGGGACCGTGGTCAATCGGAACTGTGGTAAATATCAACGTGGTCAATCGGGACTGTGGTCAATCAGGACAGTGGTCCATCGGGACCGTGGTCAATATCAACGTGGTCAATATCAACGTAATCAATTTCAACGTGGTCAATCGGGACCGTGGTCAATATTAACGTGGTCAAACGGATACCACTCATCTCGAATCAAGTGCTTTGGTATTTTAGCGTACGTGTGGCACAGATAGAAGCAATCGACGTTCGAGTGTCGATCCATAGCGAAATACTCCCTGATAGTATCCTGTTTGTCGCACGCTACGTCGTCGAACACGAATATCAAATTCGGGAGCGCTTTGTTGGGCGGAATAACATCAGAGTTATCGGAAAATGTGAAATAACCTATATCTTCCATCGGTGTCAATAAATTCTCTAAATACTAATATTTAGGCTGTTGCAACGACTTCGAGTAAACGTAAACGTTCTCGACGCGTACGCCGTGCGGGCTCTCCAGCAAACTTATCAGCGCGTTCGTCTTACCGCAACTAGAGGGGCCGCAAATAAGACAGCGAATAGCGCTCGGTAATAGACGACCGTGTCTGCGCGCTTCCTCCGACGGTCGCGCCCTACCGTCGAGGTTTGTCATCCTTATCCGATCGGCTGCCGCACGAAGCGCATTCCTCTCGCGTGCGCGGTACACTCGCGCAAGGCGGGGCGAGATCTTTTTATTTATATACGAATAGATCGCCGTCGATCGCGCAGTAGCGAATCGCGCGCGGTGAATCGAGATGTTTATCCTACTAGTAGACGGTGACGATATTCTCGATTTCACCACCGATCAATTGCGGTTTATCCCGAAGATAATCTTGCTAAAGCACTTCGGTCGCTACGTGGAACGATTGTGGGAGAAACTGCCCGAACATATAAGAGTGGATCCGGAAGTGCGGCGCTACCGTCGATGTTTGGAGCATTACAATCGTCCCTGGCAATGAACGCACATTGACGGCCCGGCGCCGCTCGTTAAAGATTGCGGCGAATGCAATTCGCGAAGCGTCAAGATAGATGTAAATCGAAAAAGATTTTTGTTTCTGTTTTTTTAAATAATTTAATTTTTTTAATTAAAATATTTTTTTTCCATTTTCCAGGGGGGGGGGGCACGTGCTCGTTTGCCCCCCCCCTGCGGACGCTTATGTACCCGGATATCAATTTTGCGGGCCGGGTACCCGTCTCGCGAAACGACTCGCGCGAGGCGATCGAGGCGTCAATCGTCTGGACGCGGCCTGCCGCGAGCACGATGTCGCGTACTTGCGAAGCGGC